GGAAATGATCCTGTTTGAAATGATAAATTGCAAATATAAGTTAGTGGTTTAGAGATTCCTTTAATTACTATTAAAGGAACATGAAACATAACATGAAAACACCTCCATCTGTTTCATTGTTTGTATTGAAAAACCCTTAGAGAAGCCTTCAAACTACGATAATATAATATTCCATATCTCCAGTTTATCAGAAGAGTAGCTGATGCAGGATTTTATCACAGTCAAATTCATGGCACTATTAACTGTTAATATTCATTTGCAAAGTGATGCAAGGTGAAGTTTTGCATTGTTCAGGTTATAGCTTTAATTATAAACTAAAACTAGAGCTGTTAGCACTGACAACACGATCTGAATTAAGTGATGTACATTAGAAGTCATATTATCTCTGCCTAGGGGAAACAAACTTACATTGAAATGGAATGTTTTAAACAATGAATAATTACTGAAAAGGTGGATGATGAAAACTGATAAAAATGTCTGACTTTGTCTTGGTCAGAAAACGAGAAGCTGTGTTTTAAGATTTTGAATTTAGATTCATTAAGTAAGAACACATCTGAGATGAAGGCACATTTCCCTAATAGAGAGTCACTTTGCATCAGCAGCTCCATGCTCCAGCGCTCTGGGAGAGTTTATAGTCCTGACAGTTGAACACTGGATGACTGACAGCTGTCCTTCATCACAGCAGAAGACACAGAAATCCTCCTCATCATCAGAAACATGACTTTGATCTGCGTCTTCATCTGGACTCTCCTCTGCTGCTGCTTCACAGGTAAAGTCCAGAAAATCCAACTCCTCTCCTCTATGAACATCTGTCCCTCTGAAATGAAGCCGACTAAACCATGAAGCTGCTGCATGTTTTTGTCTGTGTCCTCAGAGGTCAGAGGTCAGGTCACTGTGACTCAGCAGCCTGCAGCAGTGAGAGCTGATCTGGGAGGATCTGCCACCATCAACTGTAGAACCAGTCAGGATGTTTATTATTATCGTAGTTGTTCCTGCTATCTTTTAGCCTGGTACCAACAGAAAGATGGACAAACTCCTAAGCTCCTCATTGATCGTACCAGCACTCGAGCATCAGGGACTCCAAGTCGTTTTACAGGCAGTGGATCAAACTCTGACTTCACTCTGACCATCAGTGGAGTTCAGGCTGAAGATGCTGCAGTTTATTACTGCCAGAGTCTTCATTACCCCAATAGCCAGTATGTGTTCACACAGTGAAAAACAGCCGTACAAAAACCAAAAGTGTCACAACTGATGTAACTGGAAGCTGCTATAGAGCGACACCACATGGGCCCAAAAATGCTGTCAAACAAATTGCATAACTTTATTTGAGAGCTTTGATGTCTTTCTCCTTTTACTACAAAAAATTGTTTAAATTATTTATTCACACCTAGAACATGATTAGCATTGCTGCTATTTTTAAAGTCAGCTGGAGAATAGGAAACTAAGATTAAAATAAACACAAATACATCTAAAGTAATTATTCATGTTTCTAAAATTCAAATAATGAAGGTGTAAACCATGTTTCTTGAAATGGCTCAATGTGTCACTCAAAGCCCAAAATGTCAGTAGTCTTAGGAATCCTTTCATCGCTGCCTCTTTAGGAGATAAAACTGCTAAGCTGATGTTTCTGCATATGAGTAACAATGAAAAACATATTTTGTTTTCAGTCCATTCAAAAACTTTAAAAATTATCCTAAATTCATAAAGCTTTTAAAATTGAGCACGGCTAATTGTCAGGTGCAAAATATCTGCAAACTTAACCATTAACACCTGTGAAATATCCTGAGAAGAATTCAGAATCTCCCGGAAAGTGGAAAATACAAATTAAACACAAATAATTAGTACATCAAACATAACACACTGTAAAAAGAAAATAAATAAATAAATAAATAAATAAAGTCGAATTTACTGTAAATTACCAGCAGCTGTGGTTGCCAGAAATACGGAAAAACCCGTAAATTTCTGGCAACCACAGCTTGTTGGTATTTTACTGTACATTAGAGAAGTTCTTTTGACAGCGTATGCATACTAAAAGTGTCGGGTTTTGTAAATAAATAAGCTGTTCAATGCTGACATCTTCTGGAGTGAAATGGCAAATGCAACTGTGTAGGACAGTATGCAAGAACTTTTCTGTTTAATTTCTATTTAATTAGTCACTATGTTGTCCTTCTGCAACTTTTCCAATTATTAAGAAAATCCTCTTGTTTGAGACAAAGTATGGGAACATAAAATTAGGATTCTCTCCATAAATTTTTTTTACATTGACATCTATTAACTTACAAATATTAAAAAAAAAATGTTTTACCAAGTGTTGATTAATTTAATTTCTTAAATGAAACAGTTTGACCAAGTATGTTGCTGATATTGATAGTTTAGACAGAAGCTTCCAATGGATATTTAAGACTTACATGTTCTGAGCATTTTATCAAAAAAAGCAGATCACATTCCCAGAGCTTTAGTCCATTTAATATTTGCCTCATCCTATTTGGTGTCTTGGGCATCAATTTATGCTGCTTTTGCAGTCATCTGGTACTTTAAAGCACTTTTACACCACAAGTAACATTGAGGTATCTGCAAAGACACATGCTCACACCATTTCTGTTTTGATGGAACAAAAATGGTGACAATAATTTGGAAGGATCACAATGGAGCATGGAAATGCCCTGGAACAGCTTGAAATTCACAGAGTTGTTCTGAAGCACTCCTTTGAGATCTGTTTCATCAGGTCCTTCTGGTGGCTTTTGGCAAACCTCAGATGGGCCACAATAACAATTTGGTTTATTTCAAATGCAACAGATGTGGGAAAGAGAAGGAAAAAAAGAGGGAGAGTCTTCTTCTATATTTACAGAAATAGAGGGAAAAAAAGAACAGATACTAACAACATATGTATGTTATTAGTATTACCACAAGATGTATTTATTGGCAAATTTGACCCAATATAATCTAAAATAATGTAATCTAAATACAAAGACAAGTGAAACCCTAAACACACAGCAGTGGATCCTGAGCAAGACTGAAGGAAAGATGTAAATAAATGTTTTTTTATTGTCATGAATTAACAATAAAAAGTTACAAATATTTTCTTCATGATTTCTCATACAAGATATTTCCTTTCAACACCTTGTTTTCTAAATAATTGTGCTAAAATGTAGTTGTTTTAATGTTATAGAATTTTATTTTATTTTTTTACATTTTTACTCAACCTTCCTCTGAAATATTATCATTCAAGGCAGAATTTTGTATCAAATAAACACAAGATTCTCCAGTGAAATATATAACTCAGACAAAACACGTTGATGTGTTGATCAGTTTTATTGCTTTAAGATATTAAATCAACCAGGACTGCAACAAGAAGCAAGAGGGCTTCAAAAGAAAAGAAGCTTTTGAAGATAGAAAGAACAGAAAGCATTGAAAAAGCAATAGTTCCCATCTTCTGGCATGTCAGCTCAGGACTGGGAGCACTGGTCTCTCCTCAGTGTCTCTGTGACTGCAGACTGGGAGCCCTGGGAGGCCTCACAGGTCACAGAGCCCACCTTCCTCCACTGGTCTGCAGGGAGCCTCAGGGTGCTGCTCCAGCTGTAGAGGCCGTCATTCTGCAGCACCCCGGGGCTCCTGCTCTGCTCCAAGCTGCTGCTGCTGCTGCCGTCCAGCTTCCAGGACAGAGTCCAGTCTGAGGGGAAGCCCTTGTTGGCCAGACACATGAGGGTAACCTGCTGCTGCTGCAGCTCCACACTGGAGGGGGGTACAACCATCAGTGACGGAGGCACTTGACCCACTGGAGAAAAAAATAATAATTAGTTGGAACTGCTGTTCAGTGTAATCAGTCCAGGGTCAACAGCCACTCTCCAAACCTGCAAGGAGAAGCAGGTTTAGTCAATGAAAAGACGATCTACAGTTTTTCATTTCCTTCTAACATGCAGGCATGACTGCCGAAGCGTGGAAGCAGGCAGGTTTCAGAGCTAAAAATACCACAGCTGGTTTTAACATCACACTTGTTTTAGTTATTTTGGTTAACTATTAGTCCACAATTTAAAACTTTTATAAATTCTGTGACTGTACAGCTTGTTACATCACAAATTCTACATCAACAAATCATTTTATCAAAATGACTTGAAAGCATTCCACACTGAATTATTTCAGTGTGAGGGAGTCTGGAGTGCTGAGATAATTTAGTGAAATTACACCCACAGAAATAGGCAATAACATAACTGTCTGATGTGATTTTACCAAAATACCTCTGGAAATTTAACATATTTGTAAGGAATAACAGAGGATAGCTGAAGGTCATTCTGATGGCAATGAATCTTTAGTGGTACTAAATATAGTCATTATATTTACAAGTGCATTCTGATTGCAATGAACTTTTCCAAACCTGAGTAATTGTTGGTCTAAAACAGAGGAGGCTTCAAGTCTTCAGCTTTAATTTTTATTTCTGATTCTATGTTTGATTTTTATGTGAATAAAAATATGTCAACACAGAATATATCACTGATATATGTCCAATGCAAGTATGAAAAGTAGAGGTTGATTTGATAATAAACACCTTGAAAAATATGTAATTATTATGCTTAATTATTTAATTCACATTTATTATTATTTCATAACAAATAAAAGCTGGAATTAAAGATCCAAATGTGTTGAAGCAGAGGCTGAGAATTACTTCCTCTTGGAAACTATACACAATTATTTATATATGTTGACAGTAGGAAAAAGAATGAAAGACGGGAAGTTTTTGCTATTTAAGGAATCAGATGAACTTACGGTTGACTTCAAGTCTGGTTCCTCTTCCGAACATGTGGCACAGTGACACAAACTCACCACGGCATCAAACAAAAACCTCAGACTGAGAGAGACACAGAGCGTTTTATTCAACACAAACACTGAAGCAATGTTTCAAACATTTATGAAGTGGATGTGTTTAGCAATTTATTATTTATTAATACGTTCAATATTTTTGAGAAAATGGCAAAACACAAAACTATTTTCAGAAAGCCTGTCAGAGAATTTCATATTTATTTAAAGGTAATCTTGATCAGTAATTTTCTTTAGGTTTTTGAAAGTTTAATTTCTTTTTTTTTCATTCAATTTGATTGTTTATTACTCCTGATCACTTGTTATCATCACAACTCTAGTGTAGACACTTTTCAGTTTATTCAAAAGACAGGTTCAAAATAAGTCTTTCAAAGATACATTTTGTTTTAAATTCTTTAGCTGGAACTAAGGAGAGCACCGTTTGGTTAAATAAAATTATTTTAGCTGCAACAAACTGATTGCATTAGAGCACTTATGATGATAAAGGGATGACATGTCAGATGATGTTTCAAATCATCATCTGCCTAAAATAATGGCCATTTTTTACTAAAAAATGAATTAGGTATAAAAAAAAGAAATAAATACATTTGGCAAAAAATTATTTAGGCCATTGTTTTAGAAGGTGACAAAATATAATCCTAATCTTTGAAACAAGATCATTTAAAATTATGGAAGATGGAAAGCTATAAAGCAAGACCGCTTGAAAAAACTAAAAAGAATGAGTGTATTATGAGTGCAGCAAATGAAATTTGGTATAGTTTAAATCCCTGCGGATGTGGAGTGCAGTCAGTAAGCATTAATCTTGCTGTTTTGTTAAGATTTATTTAAAATATAAACAATTATGAATCCATTCAAAACAAGCGTTTAACATCTACACACGCAGAAACATTTACATGTTCACATGTCCACATGTTCACAAATCATGATAAAAGATGAGTGTTAATACATATTGTAAGTTTCAAAAAAAGGATGTGACTTTATTTAATCACTGATATAAATAATCCTAAGCAACTTTTCTGCTGTTGATTTGGACTCATGTTTACATCAGTGAAGACTAAATTCATCTTCAGGAAAGTGGAAGTTTGAATGAAAATGTTTTTTCCGTTTTGTGCTTCCTGTCGTTAGCAAAATAACCATGGCAACCGTCAAGGATGACTGCTGTTCCCTGGTAACAGTTTTCTGATCAACATATAAACATTTTAAGTTATGGTAGACCCCAGGGAGAGTAACTATTTTATATGTTTACATATTTTGAGTTCCAGTGTAAATTTCTTTGTTTGGATTCTATGTAGAGATAATATGTATGTGTTAAGATAAATTAGTACAAAGGTAACTGTAAATAATATTAAATTATACAGGAATAACAGTGCGACTGGACTATACATGAAGAAATTCTCATCATGAAAGCGATCGGTTAACTTTAATACATTAAAAGGTTTGAAAAAGTAAATATAGATGAAAATAAGCTAAACTTTATCTCAAGTTTTCTTTATTTAAATAAACAAGTTTTTGTTTATTCAAATAACCATTTTTTTCTGCACAGACAAGCAAGTACAATGGATTGGAGGATGGATGACACAATGTTAAAATAAATATTTATAAACCATATACAAGTGAAAACATTTTATGGAAAGATGACTTTTAAAACTGATCATTACATGACCATTACAAATCCATTGGTTAATATAATCATTGTACTAACTGTCACAGTAAAATTATTTCCATAAAAGGCCACTTTGCATCAGCAGCTCCATGCTCCAGCGCTCTGGGAGAGTTTATAGTCCTGACAGTTGAACACTGGATGACTGACAGCTGTCCTTCATCACAGCAGAAGACACAGAAATCCTCCTCATCATCAGAAACATGACTTTGATCTGCGTCCTCATCTGGACTCTCCTCTGCTGCTGCTTCACAGGTAAAGTCCAGAGAATCCAACTCCTCTCCTCTATGAACATCTGTCCCTCTGAAATGAAGCCGACTAAACCATGAAGCTGCTGCATGTTTTTGTCTCTGTGTCCTCAGAGGTCAGAGGTCAGGTCACTGTGACTCAGCCTGGTTCAGTCCGCTCTGCTGTTGGAGAATCCGTCACGATCAACTGTAGGACTAGTCAGAGGGTCTACTCTTGGAATAGCCAGGATTATATGGCTTGGTACCAACAAAAAGATGGAAAATTCCCTAAACTTCTCATGGTTGATGCTAATAGACCTGCAGATAGGATACCTAGTCGCTTCAGCGGTAGTGGATCCAGTTCTGACTTCACTCTGACCATCAGTGGGGTCAGGGCTGAAGATGCAGCAGTTTACCTTTGTCACTGTGTTCATATTGGTAATAGACCAGGACCGCACACACAGTCAAAACTCCTCATACAAAAACTTCCTTCCAAAATAAACTGACTGTTGCCACAGAAAGTCACTGATCACACACATACACACACACACACACAACAACAACAACGTGCTAAGTAAAGCTTTCAGATGTTCCCCTGTTTATGAATTAATTTGACAAAAAACAAAAGTTAAAAAATTACACTTCATTAAGATGTTTATGTTGTGATGTAACAAGCTGTACAGTCACAGAATTAAATTGATTTTAGTTTTTATTTGCATTTAATTAATAAATAATAACTGTATCATATGTCAGTTATGATGTTATGCTGCTCTCCACAATTATAAAAAATTGAAATATTAAATATTGAAAGGTAAGTCTGTCAAACCTAGGTGAACATGTGATGTGTGTTTTTCACATTTAGGACTTCCTTAACAAAAACTTTAGGATGAATGTAAATTGTGAAACACTTAAGACAACGTGTAAAATTCTGTAATAATCATAGTTTAAATTAAGTGATATTAAAATGCCATTAAATGTGAAGTGTGGAATACTAAGCCCTTCATCCACACAAATGTTGTTTTTATAGGCACCAGCATCCATGAGCTTTTGTTGATAAAGATGGATGGATGGATGGATGGATGGATGGATGGATGGATGGATGGATGGATGGATGGATGGATGGATGGATGGAAGGATGGATGGATGGATGGCGTTAATTTTACTGCCACGAACTACTGTAGTGATGTTTTCCGTCCACCAGATGTCCCTGTCTATTAACTTTAAGAAGCAATTCAGATTTTTAATCCGTTATTCAATCACTTAAACTAATTTAAGTGGACATATTTAAGACGTTTCTTAAATATGCCCAAGGCATCAAGTATGTCGCATTACAATTTGTGTGCCATGAAGTGTAGCGCAAATTATTCTCCCAGCACTTTGCGACTTTTTTTTAACTTTATTTGAAGGACTGATATGGAGTCTTCTCACCTCTCCGTTTTTTTAAATCTCAAAATAATCCAACCATAAATACATGTTTATTTATTTATTTGATTGATTAATTTAAATTTTTGCATGAGTCGGTTTTGTCTGTTAGTGTTGGACTTATCCCCCCCCCCACCACCTTTTACTAGGGCTTTTATTTTGAAAGCTCCATCCGGAACGTCTAATTAATTTGGCGCAGTGATGCGTGTTTGAATGCGGTGTTTGTTTATAAGCAGGGAACGTGGAAAAGTTTATTCTCACTCTCCATCAAAAACAGTTCTTGTGTTGTTGAGATGGCGACCCCCGGCAGCTCCTCGGCCTCTGACAGGATGTACTCCCAACTGATAGACGACGGCAGTTATGAGGAGTCCAGCCGCAGACCAGATGTGCATCAGGGCGGTAAGCAGAGGGGAACGTGTGAAAGTTTTATCCAGCTGCAGATCCACTGATTCTGATCCCCTTTTTATCCCTGTAACAAGAAAAGTTTATGCAAACAAACATTATTACTGTACAACAAAACTCGACTTTTCTTACAATTTTTTATTGTCCCTGTTTTCAGTGTTTATTTTGCAATTGTTGCGTAATATGTTCAAAAGATTTTTTTTTTTTTTTTTTTTTTTTTTTTTTTTTTTTTTTTTGCCACAATCACGCTGCTTTCACCCCAGGGAAGAAGCGCCGCTTATACCCACTTTTGTTTTAATCGGGATTATTTTGTACACCCAAGTTTCATGCGAGCAAAAATATTGTCAGTTACTAAAGTTATGTGAAACTTTATAGTGCTTTTTAGTTTAACTCAATGTATATTTTAAAAAGTGAATGTGTATCGTATTTAACATGAGCTTAAATCTAATGATCTAAACTGCAATGCTAAAATGGATGTCTTCAAAGTTTCATCAATGTTGCTTTACAGCGACTTTGTGTTTCCACATGTAGGAAAAGTGACGTTTGTTTGCCGACTGCAGTTTAAATTTGCATCGTCACTTCATCTTGATTGCACTGTTACTTTTTATTCTTTATTATATCTTTACCATATTATTTATCATTCTTTATATTTGTTGGGTCCTGTTTGTCTTAATATGGTGAATCTGCAGCTGTAATTCAAGTCACGTTTATTTGTACAGCACATTTCAGCAACAAGCCAGTTCAAAGTGCTTTAACATTAAAACATAAAACAATAATCAGTTATGAAATGAGCATTAAGACTTAAAGTTTGTCAAATGCCATCATCAAAATCATCATCATCATCAAATATGTTAATCAGTGTTCCAGTTATTATCATTCAAAAGCAACTCTAAGCAGGTGGGAATTTAGCCTTGATTTTGAGGAACTCAATGTTTTGGCTATTTTCTGGAAGTTTGTTCCAGATTTGCAGAGCATAAAAACTGAATGCTGTTTCTCCATGTTTGGTTCTGGTTCTGTGGGAACAGAGTAGAGTAGAACCAGAAGACCTGAGAAGTCTGGAAGGTTGATCATAGAGGAACAACAGCTTAGTTGTCAAAAATTTTGTGTACAATCTTCTAATACAATTTTGAGAGTGGAGATATTTCACAATAGTTTTCTGGGTACAGCTCTACTATCAGAAACATACTTCCCACTTCCTTTTATTCCAAGAAAGGAGAATTCCCACCATAAACTCTGTTCTGTGTTTTGCTGTTGGCATTTTCCATGCTGAAGAACCAAGGCTGTATATGTAATGTTTTTGTGTGAGCACATTATGCAGAGTTTCAAATGAAAACAGACTGCTTTCAAGAAGCACAGTGATTTTAAACAGATGTCCAGGATAAGTTTAGAGCTGTAAATGGATTTTTGAGACTGCAAGTATTTACAAAAATTTAAGCAAAAAAAAATCTACTTACGAAAATGCACAAGTTATTATATTCACATAAACGTAGCCATCCTTTGTTACTGGATATAAAAGGTTGCATGCAACTGACAGATGCATATTGTCACACTTCAGCTCTGAGGAATCAGATTTTTTTGTTTCTTCATTCCAGTCCAGTCTCCAGAGGAGTTTAGCTGGGGGGTCAGCGTAAACGAGCTTTTACTTTAATATTAATACATAAACAAACCTTTCTGTAACTTTTCAATAAAATAACCATGTTTAATGGTACAGTGTAAACAGTGACATGTATAAAATGTTGAGTAATTATGCTGGAAATTTGCATAAACAGTAGCGCATACATTACGGAAATCTAAGAATGTAATGTTTCTAATCTCTGAAGTCTATTTCTTTAAATGCAAATTCAATCTGCTCAATAGTAGCAATAATAATATTACTCAATTAAAAAAAAAGTACAGTGCAGTAGAACTACTCTTATAAGTAAACGTAACTCAAGTAAATGTAACCAGTACTATCCACTTTTGAACATAGATAACAACAAAATGAATAGTCTGTTCTTGTTAACAAGCTTAAGATAATATATTGGCCTCAGATAGACATAATTTTTCTACATCATCTGCATCCAGCAGCATTACTCTGTGGGTGAGCAATGTTCCCCAACGCCCGCCTTGCCGCCTCATTCAGATATGATTCATCCCCATTTCCATTGTGTTGTGTGACTTAAAGCAAATAGTAGTTAGACATGTGTACACAGGTTACAGTTCCTAAAACAGGTTCAGCAAAGACTGCTTACAGAAATTTGAACAAGTTCACATTTGTTTCAATATTTTATGATACAGTTTTTGTTTTTAAAGTTGTGTGTTATTTGTCACCAAGATTTCAGCTGCAGATGCTTAATGTCATGTAAGATACAAAGTTGTTTTGGATTTGACTGTTTTTTTTGTTGTTTTTGTTCCTACACACCTCACAAATGTTTGCTTGGATGGGTATCTGAGGTATTTGGAGGCTGAGTTAATTTGTTGTACTTTCCACCCTGATTGGTCTGTTTTGTCCAACAACTGGAAGTGCTTTCTGCATCCTGGGACCTTTCAATACCACCACAGTAACTCGAAAAGGGCCAGCCTCCGTTCCCTGCATGCATCTATGAACCTAGGCCGCTCACCACTGGTTCCTCCTAGAGCTATTTTTAATAGATACTGACGGTTGCAGACTGGGAAAATCCACGAAGAACTGCAGTATTGGAGATGGCCTGACACCAGAAATCATTAATCATTAACTAAATTGCCAAAAAAAACTGCTGGTTGGCTTTTTTTAAGCGTTTGGGCTATTTTTTAAAAGCAGTTGATAACAAAATGGAGGTATAAAAATGTGCAAAAACTGAATTTTACATAATTGATCCCCTTTAACTAGTTGTCAGATACCTTCATTTCCATTTACCAAGGAATCTGTTTCTCCTCCAGATTACCCAGTCAAAGACCTCAGGCGGAGTGGCCCGGGTCCCTACCGCTTTGCCACCATCTGCTTGGCTACACTCTGTGCTATCCTCCTGATCTCAATCATAGCTGTCACCGCTCACTGTGAGTATACAACCGTCAGAGATGACTAGCATTTCCTTCACTCATTCTGGTTTATATCTAAAACAATTTGGACCATTCAGTAATTTGCTTATGTCAGACACAACCAGTAAGAGCTAACAATAAATTTGTCTAAATTTGTATACTTTCCCTGTGCCTGTGGTGCACACTAACCTTTCCACATAACATAGTTTCTCACAAGTTAATTTTGTTAATGAGAGCAGTTTAGGAATTCTGCTCTCCATTTGAGCAGGCTAGCATCATTTTTGTAACTTGTAAAAACCTGTTTACAGAACAAATTGGAAGCTTTAAATCAAATGCCAACTTCAATATGTTAGACCTCGATGCGTTTAGCCTAGGCACGCTACAGGAATCAAAATTCTGCTCAGGTCTTTTATTATGAATCATATGTTTTGTCCTGTAGAAGCCAACATAACCAAAAGATATTAGATTTTTAACTTTTATATCATATCTTCTTTTTAAATGTGAATATAGTGCAGGTCTGTCTTCACATTCTAGAAAAAGGTACAATCCACACCCTTGGCTTGTTTCTCCAGTGTATTAGCAAACTTGGATCTGTTCCTTAGAGGCCTATATGTTGCAGAAACTGTCAGTTCTGTTTAAATTATTAACATTTATCCAATCAGACTCTCAGAAAAGCTTTAAGAATGTTTCATGGTTTAATTTTGTTTGCAGATAAGAGCAAACCCCCACCTGCTGCTGAAGCAACCGCAGAGATGCAGAAGGAGAATGCAAACGTTTCAGCATTGATGGCTTCAATCACAAAACTCCAGCAGGAAAATAAACAACTGCAGAAAGAAAAAGAAGAGCTGCAGGTGAACCTTACCTCCATAATGACAGCCAAAGGTACAGTTCTACTTAAAATGGTGCATAATATTCACATAGTGTAAATAAATGCAGAATCATGTGGAGTTCCTGACTTTTTTTTCCTACTTTCATAAGAGCCTCAGTGTTTAGTTCAGAGACTGTCTAATATTTAGATACTTTGTTTCTTACCCGAGTCTAATTACTACACTGGGTATAAAACTATAAGGCATTATTGAACAATTACAACTCTCTCAGGAATACCAAGATGTTAATAAATATCAGCTGAGTAATTTAAGAGGGTCTTCTTGGGGAACATGTCCAGTGTTCATTATATTTGGTCAACCATTAGAGTGCAGAATGAATATCCAACTAAATGAAAGATAATTATTTTAGCATCTCATTAAGAACAATAAACAATTAAAAACATAAAAACCAAATGCTTACAATACAAGGCTGCAGGGAATTCAAAGCCACCGAGGCCTGATGATTGAATTTGCATGTTATTGTTATGCGTCTGAGGTATGACATGTGCTGTTGGTTTCCAGCCACTGAAGCCACATGTAAACCGACCAGAGCCCCTATTGTGTGTCCTACGAACTGGCATCTCTTCAACGACAGCTGTTACCTCATTTCTAAAGATCGCAAAAGTTGGTCTGTCAGCCAAATGTACTGTCAAAGACAAGGAGGTCATCTGGCCATTATCCTAACAGCTGAAGAGCAGGTAAAGTATGATAGTTGGTGCAGCATCTGTGATCTTTTCATTTGAATGTGTCTGACAGAGTTTATTTTAAAGCTGAGAACATAAAGTAATTTGCTTACACCGCCTCCCAAAATCCTTTAAAAACTCACTCAAATATCAGATTTGCTGTGCAGTGCTTTCCTTTGACAGGGGCAGTTTTTGTCCAAACCATATTTTCTGCAAAAACAGTTTCAAATTCTACCCCAAAAAAAAAAGTTAACTTTGTAAAGACTGTCTAAAAATCTCTTATAAAATGGATATATTTGACTCCATTGCATTCTTCAGTAAAACTCAACATTGTTCCTGCCATTTTTATGCCCAGCCATTTCCTGAAGGCCAAGGCCATGGTACCATGTTTTCTTTTTTTGTTTATTTCTATTGCAAGCATAGTTTTTTGAACAATAATCAAATGTCACACACAATGTTCAGCTTACAAATCCATTCTGTGTTGGAATTTGACCACGTAAATAATCCCACTTTGTTTATCTGTCAGACCTTTTTGTGGGATCTCCTTCCCAGAGGACACTGGAACTCATACTGGTTTGGAATCACCGATGGAGAGACAGAGGATGAGTGGAAATGGGTCGACGACACTCCGCTAGTTGGAGGGTATAGACTTCTCATCAATATACTACAAAATATTGTCACTTTAATTAATATTAAGTTTTAAAAAATACACATTGTGCTTAAATTGGGCAAGACATCAAACATCACTTCTGACTGATCTGCAACATAAAAATATTACAGTCATCAAGTGGTAGAAAGTGACTAGATAGTTTCAGTCCAAGTCAATCAAGAAAAACTTCAGCTTTTTTTTAATTTATTAATATTACTACAGTTGGAGCCAAACTATATTACATTATTTATACAATCCATTTTCTAGCACATCAAAAAGTGCAGAATGCAATTTATCACATTAACCTTTTTTAGAAAAACTTTACAGTAAATGACAGAAACAGGCTTTCATTCTTTTCAGCTTTGATGGACATTCACTCCAACTTAAACTGGGGCAGACGTTTGCAAACAAACTGCAGGTCCAGTGGACCTTTACCTTTGCCTGTTACGTTTGGCACACTGACAAATTTTAGGAAATATTTTATCAGTGAATTAACTACTGTTGATTTATTCAACAAAAATCGCATTCATTCCTTCTGGAACATATAACTTGTCTTTAGTACACAGCCTGGCTGTTTTTTCCTCTTAATTTTC